TGTGAATTAATAGTTTAGTTATATTGTGAATTAATAGTCTAAATAGGGTAGGGAATGTTCCTGCACAGGCTTCGTAACCCCTGCCTCTCCTAGTGGGTCAGTTAGGCCTCACTCTCAGTGAAGTTTCTGACTTGGGGAGAAAAGATGCTTGGGATTCCCATTTGTGTATAGCGTGACCTTGACGTGACCTTCAGGGTATGTGGTGACAATAACTAGACTTTCCACCGATTGAAACCGTTCTAAGTACCTCACTTTGCCTGATCCTGCTCTTATGAGTCTGCATGATAATAAAAACATGATCTACACCACAAGTTTCCACACCCTACCCTCTTCAACTGATTACTTCTCGAGCCATGGTCTCGCGAGACGGGACGAGAATTGAGTTTAGGTTGACCCCGATATGAAGTGCAGAAGCTAAGTGATAAATCAACGTCTCATTACACAGCAACAACGTTCAAACAACAGACTTCTCGTCTGGAGAATGTGTCAGGGGTACTCGGGTGAAATCTTAAAGACTATACTCTGGCACAGTTATTGTTTCAGGTCAAGATTATGGGTACGATCCATTACTTGTTTAGTACACAAATGACAATCATTGATGGTAAATGCAATGGCGTTCTAGAGACCTCTAGTATTCAAACACACCACACCCTACATTTAAAACTATTCTTTGCTTCTCTGCTTTAATTCATAGCAATGCTCCAGAACGGTTCTTTGGGCAGACCTACGTTCTCTAGGATACGATAGAGACTATCCAGAACCGTGCCTGGTCCTAATAACCCCATTCAGACATAGAAGTAGTCAGCCACGGTTCTAGATACGATAGAGAAGATATCTCATGTACAAATGTAGTTCCGTACAGCGCGGTGTTTTTCTCGGTCATCTCACCCTCCCAGACTAAGTCGGCGCCAGCCTTGTTTGCGTCTCTCCCCGAGTCGAGCCGCTTTCCCGGCAGTTTCAGGGGAAAAGCAGAATTAGAACCGGATGAGTGGCGGCTGGGCCGGCACGGCGGCGCGTCTCCGGCTGTTCCCGGAAGTCGGAGGATTATTTCCTTTCTTGAATGTCGGGTGTAATTTCTTACGCCAATAAAGTAATGGGACGTTTTGCAAGGGTGAAAATCTTGGCTGAATGAAGGTTTGACATCCAGGTAATAACTTAAGGCACCAAAGTAGGGGTTATTTTCGATCTTGAATGTCGAGTGTAATTTCTTACAATGCTGTAATGAAACGTTTTGTGGGTGGACATGTAATTCTGGGCTGAATGAAGGTTGCACATCCAGGTAATAAGACACCAAGATAAAGTTAGTCAAGCAAGGGTTATTTTCTTTCTTCAAAATCGAGTGTAATTTCTTCTTCACACTACACTAGCAAAGTGATGAAACGTTTAGCGGGTGGACAAGGGTAAAACTCGTGAGCAAAAGCAACTCCTGGCTGAATGAACTGGAAAGTTCTCGTAGATATCCAGATAATAAGAATTTTAAGACACCAATTGAAAGTAGAAGCTAACTCAAGCAAGAATTATTTTCTTTCTTGAATGTCGAGTGTAATTTCTTACGCCAATAAGAAGTTAGAAGTGACCAGGAGAGCATAAAAGTGTGCAACAAAGTTCTCCTTCTCCCAGTGACATTGAACTTGCATCCTCATGTTTAACCCTCCTCACGTCCCCCCGTACAAACAGTCCAACCTTCATCGCGCTCTGAAAACCCGCGCCAAGCCTTTTAATTTCTCTCTATCCCGCTGACATTTGTACCTTGTTTTTCGCTCCTGTCCATAAGCTGGTGCATTTATGTGCAGACTGTAGTTCAATTATAGCGCAGGTCTCGAATGGGTTTTTCATTTCCATGGCGCCTGGAGGAGACATTGCATTAGGCCACACCAAGTAATCCTTATGGGTGACGTCCTCTGGAGACCATAAATCTAATGCGAAAGCGCGAAAAAAAAACAAGAAGGGCCAAAAAAGCAAGATGCTTACATTTGAAATATACTAAGGGTCGACAAACGTTAGGACAAAGAGAAACAACCAACAAGTATTTTATTCGTGGAAAAAGCAATAAATCAGTGGCCACACTAATTTTATTTCATGGATGACATCCATGCGCGCACTTCGCCTGTTCTCAAAGATCCTCCCAGAAAATCACGTCCTCCGAGGCTCTGGCCTGGGTGCCATCCTCCGTAGTCCGTGGTAGCTAGCGACAATAGGGCGCCGGCGGTAACTGCGGAGGACGGCAATCAGGCTGCCGAACCTCCACGGAACTCAAGAACTTAGTACAGTGCTGATTCATAAATGCTGCAAAATGCCAGCATGTGTACTTTGTCGTAAAAGTCGCTATGTTACAGTATGTACTATAGCAAATTCACATACTAGCATTGTAGTCCTGTGGTTTAGCAGCATTTTTTGGGTGGAATTTTTTATTCGCCCGCGCGCACTAGTTTGGCGCTCTTCAGATGATGGCATCTACAGAATTAAGTCAATGTGGCCATACCAGGCGACAAGAGAAAAGAAGGAAGCTCGTCTTCATAGATATGCCATTAAGAACCGCACAGACGTACATATGTGATGTCAGATGCACTCTGTGTGTATATTTGACATTCTCAGGGTTTATGGGGAAAGACATAACTGGATATAAAATGACATGTGTTTATAGATTACATCTGATGTTGTTCGTAGAAGTTTAGTTCGTTAGCAAACTTAATTAAGAAAGTAATCTTGCCTCTACTTAACCTTCTTTCTACAAAGGGCTTGTCCACAGGGACATGACTGCACAAGTCAGCAAAAGGTTAATTTCCAAATGCATAGAGAGAACACTACAATCTCTGTATAATATCAACAATTGTACATGGATAAAGACAATGTGAAGTGCCTTAGATTAAGACCATAAAACACAGCTCTAAGAATTCTAGTAACATAATAAAGACTTTACAACAAGGAAAGTACTGTAAAGTGCAATTTAGGGAGTATCAGAGAAACGAACCTTGGACCTCTTGGTTACAAGCCGAACGCTTTGAACATTACGCCACGCGCTGCCACAAGAGGGTGTTAAAGAAATTTAAGACTCTTGGTGGCCAATGTGCAGATGTTGGCATATTGGCGCACCAAATCCGTAGTGTGTTCTTGGCGCACATTTTGACATATTAGCAAAGAGGCTCGGTGGGCGTCACTCCACCTTACAGGTGGGGAAGTCATGTAAAGTGCCTTTCCCAAGGGCACAACGTTGGGGCATGGTGAGTATCGAACCCGGGACCTCTTAGTTCAGAGCCGAACACTCTGACCATTACGCCACGCTGCAATTGTATTGGTCTTACACAAGGGGACATTTTTATATAGGCCTTTGCGTATTGGTTTTGTATAAGGGCACAACATCATATACCTCAGGTATAGTTTATTCTGTAAGACAACATTTCTCTGATGATGACCTTAGTTGAAAAATTCTTTAGTTCCGAGCCGAACACTTCGACCATTACGCCACGCGCTGCCACAGGAGGGTGTTAGACACCTCCTAACGAACAGTAACGGTTCCTAATCATTGGCAGGATACGGGTGGATTACCGCAGCCTGTTTATAGCAAGGTATGATGACACCCTGGCCACTGTCGTGCGTAATGCCGTCTAATGACGTTATGGCCCGGGGCAAGGCCGTACAGAACTCACTAGGGACTAATATAAGGAGTATGTGTAGGAGTAAGGACTGGAGAGTATTTTTCAGACACGTGTGAGGCACAAATTCACAGCGTGAACCAACAGGAAGCACCATGCTTGCTGTAGCGTGACCAGGGTTTATACATCGTCCGGATTTCGAATAAAAACTGATCTGTGTTGGTAGAATCCATAGTTATAAAGTTCAAGCTTTGTTCCGACACAAGAAGAAAACACCATAAATGTTCGGTCGGTATCGTCAACCTTCGTCATTTGATGCACTCCTGACGTCATCACGCTGCCGACTTCCGGAGATTCGGCGATTGCATAATACATCTGACGAAGGTTGATGAGATTGACCGAAAATTTATGGTGAGTTTCCTTCTTGTGTTGGAACAAAGCTTGAACTTTACAGCAATGTCCGGATTTTTTTTTACATTATCTAAATATCAAGATTCTCCCAAAGCCGGAACGACGAAAATCAGTCTCCGGTGGTGTGTTTTTAGCGAGCCAGTTCGGAATTAAAATGACGTGAATGTTTAGAGCCTGCAGGTATAATAAAGGCTATAACGTCGATAATCACTGGCAGAATTTTGTCCAACCTGTCTCATTTGCACACTTCAAAGGGACTCCTGACTTCAAAGAACCACGGAAAATAAGATCTGGTGTGAGCAATTTATTTCTTCACGTGTTCATACAGAACAGGACTAATTATGCACAACAACATTTAACATACAATATTGAGATTTCCAGCCTGTCATCCAATACTACTTAGTAACTTTTCATGGAAGGGTAGGTACTTTACATCTTACATGCAAACCCTTTCATCACAACAGAAGTCACAAATTAGCATCTAGATTCAGCAGTACATTCAAAACATTCAGAGATTCTTATCGCGATCATCTGATGCGGTACCGCTGAACCTCCTGGCATTGCCGCCTCCTGTCATGTTCTCGTAGTGGACGCGAAGATTTGCTGGCAATAACTTACAACGTTACGTTCTTCCCGTCCTCTCTGTCTACCATGACCAGTCACTGATGTAGCCAGGACAGTATCCGGGATGTCCCAATAGGTATGAGACAGGGACGCGGAGGGACGGAGGCTGTCGTGTGTCACCCGTGGGCTGTCGTGTGTCACCCGAAGGCTGTCGTGTGTCACCCGTGGGCTGTCGTGTGTCACCCGAAGGCTGTCGTGTGTCACCCGTGGGCTGTCGTGTGTCACCCGTGGGCTGTCGTGTGTCACCCGTGGGCTGTCGTGTGTCACTCAAGGGCTGTCGTGTGTCACCCGTGGGCTGTCGTGTGTCACCCGTGGGCTGTCGTGTGTCACCCGTGGGCTGTCGTGTGTCACCCGTGGGCTGTCGTGTGTCACTCAAGGGCTGTCGTGTGTCACCCGAGGGTTGTCGTGTGTCACCTGCGGGCTGTCGTGTGACAGACGTGTGACGCTAACAGTCGGTTGTCCGCTGTTGGAGATCCCCCAGTACACGCGGTATTCGATCTGACCAGAGGCAGAGGCCTGGTCTGTTGACGACGCGCCGTCGTCTGTCTGCTGAACGGCGTGATGTTGGACAGACACGGGCCACGTTCCGGGCCCCACGCAGTCTGCCGCACTGTTCTGTACGTGCCGTGGATGTTGTTCCGCGTTGCATCTCACGCCCTTCCTGAACTTCATCACCATAAGGTAAAGTAGCGAAGGCGTCACGATCAGAGCTAGCACGATGACAATGAGGACCCCAAGAGAGACAGTTCCGTCGTCGTTTGGTTGTCTGATGGTTGTGGCGGTGGTGGTTTGTTGTGTTCTGGTCTGAGACGTCTTGAAAGATTGTTGTGTACTGTTCGGTGATGCCCTGAACGTTGACGCCACATCATGATGAGTAGAGTAAGACGCGTTCGGTTCTGTAGAGACGGTGTGAGGTGCCGTGAGGGTTGTTGTTTCCGCATTTGGGACCAACACGTACATCGTTGGCAGCTGTGGCGAACCGTTTCCATGTCCAGTGCGGCTGATGACGACGACGCTAGCCTCCTGGGCGTTGTCCACCTCGTCCAACCCGGCGAGCGTAAAACTCAGTTCGTTCTTCAACTGCAGACGGATACCACTGTAGTAGTAGTAGAATGTTTTTTTTATTTATTTAGGAACTCAACCACACATATACACAATACACTCTGACCAGACTCGCAGGCAACCTTACTAGATGCCTGAATTGCTCGGTGGTCAACACAAAATATCATTAAAATAGGCTGTCGAACGATATTATTATTAAAACACTTATTTCATAAACAATTATTATTATTATTGATTACACATTGCTAGAATTTATAATAATAATGATGATGATATTAACAATTAATAACCTGTTGGTTGCCGACGCTCTCATGTAGATACTTCGTCCTTCTGTGGTGAGTTTGCGCCACCGCCCGTGTTTAGAAACGACTAGAACCACTGGGAGACGAACCGCGGTTTTTGTCAGCGCTCTGTCCAGCGCCGTGCATCTACAGGCGCTGTCCGCCACGCAGTAGGGCACGTCAGGTGCACCAACCATCCACCCCAGATGGAACACGCGTCTTGTCTCATCTCGGTGGAAGCAGATGAGACAGCCCTGTACGGAAACAGACACGTACTGCGTGCGGAAGTGTTCGGTAAGCGGGTAGGTGGGGTGGTACAGGGTGAGCCCCCAGCGGACCGTCTGCACCGCCCACCCGTCCAGCGTCGCCAGCCGGTCCCCTTCTATCTTCGCGGTCTCCAGTCGGTCCAGCTCGGACAGAACGCGTCCGTCCAGGCTGGACAGGAGGTTCCCCTGCAGGTCCAGCCGCACAAGCTGACCTGATGACGAACGGACAGTATATAATATGATTATGTTTACCGAAGGAAAACATATTGTTTTTTACCGAAGGAAAACATATTGTTTTTTACCGAAGGAAAACATATTGGTTATGGACTGTGATTATGTTTACCGAAGTAAAACATATTGTTTTTTTTTTGCTCGGTTTCCTCTTCTTCTTCTCCAAACCAATAAGGTCAATGACCTAAACCAGACGTCTGTCACCATGGTAACTAGTGTTGGGTTACATCATGTTGCAGTTTTATAACAGACGGGATGTAGACTCCTGTCACCATATATATGAAATATGTATGAGTAATTTCTGTACGTTTTGCCATATTGTTTTGTTTCTTGTATCATTTAGATGTTTTCTTTGTCCAGGGCTACGTACACCCTGGCTCAATAGAACAACAAGAATAAATGAATAACTAATAAACTGACCGAGACTCCGGAACGCTGTCAGTGAGATGCTCTCCAGACGGTTCTGTCCTAAGTGCAGGTCCCACAGGTTAGCCAGACCTGTGTTTGTATATGTATTGTAATGTTAATTTGTATTTGCCAGACAAGTAACTGTAAAAAAAATCAGTGTTATTCAGCATGCGCCAAAAAGCAGTTACTCAAGCAACTGGATATGATTTTGAAAACGTCAGACGTTTCAGATAGTATCAGCTTTCGTCAGTGACTGAGAGACCAGAGGGGAAATGCAGGTTTATAAGCACAAACTATTGATTGATATGCAAATAAAGTGGAGACAAATTTTTGGAAGTCGAAAAAGGAACAAAAGTCAGACAAGTCAAGACAAGATGATGCAAATTAGTCTGAAAGCTCCTGTTGTACAGAACAGGAGCTTACGTGTTGTCTGTCCTCGGGGCTGGGAGCGCCAAAACAAGTGCCGGAGAGATCCACCCGTAGCCCCCCTTCCCCGTTGAGGGTGGGGTTGTACATTCTTTTATTCAGCATGTTTATGTACAGGCTGCGACGCTTGTTTTTTTATGAATGAACTGATAAACTGTTAAACTAACCGGCGAACCAGCCTGGCCGCACGGTATGAAGCAGGTTCTTCTCCAGGTACAGAGTCTTCAGGCGGCGGAGTTCGCGGAACGACCCGGGCGCGACGGTCCGGATCCGGTTGTTCGTCAGGGTCAGGTCTTCCAGTTCGTCCAGACCTGGTCAGGCAACAATTCATCAATCGATTAATCAATCGATTGATCAATTGATTAATTAATCAATGTACATCAATTCAGCCTAAAGCTGCGTTGTTCATGATTAATCAATTAATCAATATGGTTTATTGATCAATCATGAACATTGTAGTTTTTTTTTATTCCAACATGTAATCGCCAGACGTGGTGACGGCACACTCAAGTTTTTTTCAACTTATATTAATGCCGCCACCAACACAGGGGACAAATACATGACAGGACAGTACTCATTTTCACCTGAGCGAGTGAGGAAAGTCGTGTTTAAAAGTTACAAACCTGAGAACCATCCTGTCTGGATGACAGAGAGTCTGTTGCAGTCCAGGTGGAGTAACTGCAGAAACGACAGCCTGGCGAGGACGCGCGGTTCCAGCGAGGTGATGTTGTTGTCCATCAGGGCAAGCGCTGTGGTCCTAGCCTCAACAAACGCAAGCTTTCGGGCAGAAAGTCTTCCGAACGGATGTCCTCTCACTGCTATGGCGACAGAGTCATTCACTTTTCTCTGAAAACAGGTCGTGTTGCCAGGCGGTACCCAGGAGCTAGAACTCCTCTTGTTGCACAGGATGCACGTCGTGCCAGACTTTTCGGACCTTCCCCAAATGTCGCCTGCGTTAGCGCGTCTTGGAAGCAGAGTGTCGGGTACACAGGAGCTCCACCTGCGTTCCCTGCACTGCGGGAAGCAGGAGTTGGCTTCTGTGGCGCTGTACAGCAGAGCGGACAGGAAACACGACAAAGTCACAACCGCAGCTCCACGGAACCACATGTCTGCTATTGCGATAAGGCACGGTCGGGAAAAAGTCGCGCTACATCAGTTTCTCTACCGACGTTCTTCTTGTGAGTAACGACTGTCCCAGGAATCTCTCGGTCGGTTTGCGATCGTGCGACGATTTTACAACAACCGCACAACAATCGTACAATAATCGCACGACAATCACACGACAATCGCACGAAGATCGTACCACGTTCGCACGACGCTTGTGACCTGGGTGCTATAAGTATAACGTCCTGTTGAAGAAAGTAGGACTTTTTTCTTCGTCACCTCCCTTCTCATGCCTGGACTAAGAGAGGCCGCAGGGTTTTTTTTGTTTATCAATTTGTTGTGCGTCGAGGGCTCTAAATGAGTCCGCTTAATAAACTGTACTCGGTGATCAGAATGTCTTTGAAGTGGACAATATTCGGCACTCAAAGCGCAAAATGCTCGTTTTGTTTTGGAATATCTGTGATTGGAAAAATATATTGCATTCCTAAAGAAGAATTAAACGTCGCTCAGTCAGCTAGAGAAATGGGGACAGATTTGAAATATTTTACACAACGTTTGATATTAGAATACCTGCTGAGAAGTAGGCCACAAAATATTCATAATCATTGAATACAGCGTGTTGTTTTTGTGATACATATAATTGCTACATAACTCCTGTACGCTTCAAAGAAGAAAGAAAATTGGTTATCTAGCTTTATTGCCGATGTATTGTTTAATCCTTTTTATAGGATAGCTGGTAGAAATCTTAGAGGTTCATAGGTCTACTTATAAATTTTGTATCAGCTGCTTGGATTACATTTGGTGAGAAAGGATGGTGTTCATTCTCTCTTATATCGCTCCCTGGTTTGAATATTAGTTAAAAGGGCTGTACTGGTTGATCTGAATTCCTTTGAAGTGGGCAAATCACACACTCGTTGTGCTTTGAAAATTTGTAATTGGAAAATATCTTGCATGCCTGCTGACGAAAAATAAAACTTATAGCAGTTTTTTTTGTGGAGCCACGTGTTATTCCAACATACCCCGTGCACGATTCATAAAGGGAATGCAAATTGGCTGCCGTTTCCTTCTGTTGTTGTTGTGGTATATCTGTTATGTACGTCAGGGGTTGATAACCTGTTAGTGTGAATAACCGATAGAGAGTGTTAGGTGGCATATGCAGCTGTAGTTGTTTTCGGTAGCTTCTGTATCTGTACAGCCGGTATAACCGCCCTTCGGCGTAACACACCAGCTTCGCAGGCACGCGGCGCGGCGGCAGCTGGCTATATTACACAAAACGACTTGTTACACTCAATCTTTGCACATTTTAATTGCATGAGTTGTTTCAAGTTTTGTAGTGATGATGCCCCAACTGTGCTTGGTGGCAGCGAGTTCCACTCTACGATAGACACAAATTATGAGACACAAGTCGTTTGTCAGGGATGTTTCTTACCTTAACGTTTGGTGTGAGACTCAAGATCCTTAAGATCCTGCCCTTAAAGATAAGAGATGACTGGACAGACGTTTGACTGCCCGGTGTGCCTCTAGGCATGGAAGGATCTAAGTCTAAGTAAGTAATTGACATATTACAGAATCGTTCCACAGATCCCCACACCTCAGGCAAAAGCCCATCTCTTTGAACACATCTGTGGGCCGCAAGCCTGCTGTCCTACTGCCTATCACAGATCTCGTTAATGCGTTATATTACACAGCAGTCTATAGGTTTGATGTAATTAACTTGACTGACATATATTGCAGAATCGTTCCACAGATCCCCACACCTCAGGCAAAAGCCCATCTCTTTGAACACATCTGTGGGACACAAGCCTGCTGTCCTACTGCCTATCACAGATCTCGTTAATGCGTTATATTACACAGCAGCCTATTGGTTTGATGTAATTAACTTGACTGACATATATTGCAGAATCGTTCCACCGATCCTGACACCTCAGGCGAAAAGCCCATCTCTTTGAACACATCTGTGGGCCTCAAGCCTGCTGTCCTACTGCCTATGACAGATCTTGTTAAAGCAGTCTAAAGTCCTATTAGTTTGATGTAATTAATAACAAGCTTACGGGTACGGGTCGTGTTAGAAGATAAATCCCTGTATCCAATAACAAGTTTAGTTAGCCAAGGAGACGTTTCTTTTAAAGGCTCTAGTGAAGACCCCTGTCACATATTTACAAACGTCCCACGGATTTCGGGAGCACTCTGACCAGATTTAGGCCAGGTCTACCTGTTGTATATGACTCAAAACGGATTTGAGTTAAATTGGGGTCAAATTTGATTCCTGAACACAACCCAAACACTGCTAACTGACTCATAGATGGTTGGTTTGTATTTTGATGACTTACGGTCGAAAACCAGCCAACTATATGATCGAACTTCCCCAGGGCCCCACGAATATTTTAAATTAAGAATAGAAACATTCGGTGGGCACAGCGGAACCGCCTAGCCGACCCAGCCGAACGCCAGCCGACCAAGTAATCATTTCGGGAGGCCAAATTCGTAAATGTGTGAAAGGCACGAGCTCCGATACAAAGAGGCGAGTTGTGGGCTGGCCAGATGTGGAGATAGCCAGCACGGACCCTCTACGGCCGGCCAACTCCCCTGGCCAGCTACATTCTTTTTAGGCCGATTTCTACTGCATGTATTTATTCAGCCTACAAAGGAGTCTGGTGGAGACTAGGTGTTAGACACGAGCTCCGATACAACCAGACGGCTCAGGCGAGTTGTGGCCTTGTTATTTTCGCCATCATTTGTGGCCTTGTCAGATGCAGATAAATATAGAGTACCTCATATCCGGCACCAAACGAAAATATGGAGTGCGCAAATCGAAAAGTGCACTTTGATGCATTTACAACAACGAGCTACAAATTGGATTTACGTTGTTTCTGTGCGCGTATGTCCTTCCTTAGACAGACTAATGGATAGAGAAGGGCGCCTGACAACAGCAAAACAGCTTTTAGTCTTCTTTTAGTGGTGATGTTGATGGGTCTTACCAAACCTGATGGGCCAGCTTTTATAGACTTTGAATATTCACCAAATGAATGCTCTTTACGGTTTTGCTAGGACAAAACAATGGAGTAAGTGAAAATATACTCACGTAAGCAGTAGGAAGCTTAAACAGTGAATGGCACTTGACAACAGAAAAACAGCTTTTAGTCTTTTTCTTTTAACTGTGATGTTGATGGGTCTGTTTGTAAAACTGATGGTCTTATAGACGCCACATTTTATCGTCTTCATCATCTGGTCGTTTAAGGACATTGAATATTCACCTATGCTCTGTATGGTTTCGGAATAATGAAAACACGGAAGACGAAAACAAGGAAGAAATTGAAAAGCTAGGAACGTAAGCAGCAGTTTTGAGGTTGTAGGTGTTCAAGATTAGGCCTTTGGTTTGTGTGTTTGTTTGATTGTTTGTTTGTTTGTTTGTTTGTTTTCAAGAGAAGCTCAAATCAGCCTGCAGCCGCTTTTGTAGAGGCTGTGAGGGAAAAGGTAATTATAAACGGCAGGCAAAAATATAACACAGCTAGATACAGATTACATGACTAAATTCATCATCGTTATCATTATTCATAAGCAACTCCATAAACACACAGTGGAATCTTTACGTACACATACGTATAACTATAAGGCATTACAAGCCACACGACAAACTGAAAGTTTGCGTATGATCAGCTTCCGGTATTTCTAGATGTTTCCGTTAATGCAAAAAACCTCTTGAAGACACCGGCTGTCTCCCACTCATGTTCGATACAGGAACCACGTTTGTTGTGCATCAGACATTGCAGGCACGTTGATGTGACATGAAAAGGGAGGAACGAGCGCGGATATCCGGAGATGGAAAATGATGCACATTTTACGCCTACGTGTGTTCCAGAGTTCACTGACCGATCACTGCATGACTTGTCTTCTGGCTTCCTAAATATCAATCTAGGTGATTTCCCTAAAGCGACTTCAGCACCTAATATATTGTATTTAAATGTCTTTCATGCTCCGAAAATGATAGCGATTTGCCTGGGTTTTTTTGCCCAGTTTCTGTGTTATTTTTGGCATAGTTTCTGTGTTGAAGGTACCGCTGTTTGAATCATATATTACATGCACGTTAATGTGACATGAAAAGGGAGGAACGAGAGTGGTTATACGGAAATGGAAAATGATGTACATTTTACGCCTACGTGACACACTGTGTGACAGGGTTCACTGACCGCTCACTGCATGACTTGACTACGACAAGCCTTCCGGCTTCCTAAAAGTCAATTTAGGTTATTTCTTTAATGGGACTTCAGCACCCAGTTGTCTTTAAATATCCTTTCATGCTGCGAAAATGATAGTGTTTTGCCCTAGTTTCCAAGTTATTTTTGGCCCTGTATCTACATCCTTTGGGTACCTGGGGGGGGGGCTATTATATTCAATTTGTCTGAAGTTTTCTACGGTCCTATATATTTATACCGGATTTTATCTCAAGAAATGTATTGTTTCAAAAGATGTTGCAAACTCATGTATACAGTACGCATATCGTCTTGTGATACCATGTAATGTAATTCCTTTATTGTACATCTAGGGCCATTGCGATAAAGCGGTTCTAGATACAATTACAGTAACGCAAGAGTCTGGTATTTTACTACATCTACAATGGCTAATATACACTTTTTTTATGTACTCCTTTATTCCTTGGGGTTAGGATGACGTCTCGTGACGTCATCAGGTCTCTGCCTAGCAGACCATGTGACGTCAGCAGGTAAGTGTCCTACAGGTCGATGACCAGGTTGTCCAGGGGCTGTCCGTCCCTGCTGCCGCTGACCTACAACATAGCAAAGGAAAACAGACGGAATGAGAGAATGCCTTCCTGAAGGAGCAAACAAGCAGAGGTACCTAGCTTCGACGTGCTCTCCTAGAGACACTTGCAGCATCACACAAGCACAAGTCACCAAGTGCCAAATACCTAAAGAGACTCTAGTTGACTCTGAACTGAACCACGCGTAAACCAGTACAAAGAGAGCAAGTTCTAGCGAGATATTAGA